GTCCCCATTGTCCTCATTCTGTTGGACACCCAACACCATGCTTTCCTTATTTATTTTCTGAAATGGGATTCATATCACACGCGGGGTACCCATTTGTCTATGGATGGGAAGCAGAAATGGATCAGCCCAGCTCGCCTGTCCCAGGCAGGGTTGGAAACTCTGGGCCTGTTCAGCATCGAAATCCTCTGCAAGGCAAGCTAAGGCGACCCTCTGTGAGATTTGCACAGGTGATGATCATGATTTAGGGCAGATCCCTGCCCCTGATCCGCTCTTCTCACATCCTTAATGATTTCTCCTAGGGAAAATGTTAATAAACCACTGGCACAAAAATGCATGTCTTCAATACTACTTCTAAGAAATGTGGCTTAGACATGAAACTATTACCTGAGTATAAATTGCTTTACAGAAAATTACAATAATTCTTTTGTTCCATCCCAGAGAACATTAGTTCCTTGTCTGATAGTTGAGTTTGGGAGTCAGCATGAATGGAAAGGGGATACTCACATAGCGGGCAAAGCAACACTTATTCTCACTGTTTCATCAGGCACTGGGCCCCACCCCCCTTTTATGCTCAAAGGGAAGTATAGCAGGATGGACCAATGATATTGGGGGATATTGGGAAGTTATGGGAGAGGCAGAATCAGCTGAAGGAATGAGCTCATGAAGGAAATTGACTGGGAGTGATCACGGTGGGTGGTCCGGAGAGAGCTGAGAGGCAGGAAGGGATTGCTGCGGAGCTGAGGGATTTGACTTGCAGTCCAAGGCTACTCCCAGAAGGCTGATGCAGTGTGGCCTTCACAGAGAAGGGAGCCCGGGCACTGGAAAGAGATGAGTGTTAATAACTAAGTGATGGTTTGAAGCATTGTAAATAAGACCAGTAGATTATTGAAGGCTTATAAAAGATGACAAAATATCTGAAAAGGAAAAATAGTGATCAGTGGTTGGGAGACCATTGGAATGGGAGACTGGTATGAATGTTGCAAGAGAGCAGTAAGACGTAATAACGAAATATTGGGAAAACGATGGAGACAGCAACGCAAAAATAGTAGAAAACTTTGATATCCCACATATAATTTGGTTAGATCATCCAGACAAAATCAGTAAGAAAATGCTGGACATAAAAATACTCTAGACCCAAATGGACTGAACAGAAATACACACACAATGACTGTTACTTCCATATGTGCACATTTGCATCCCATAATATTTTGAAATAAAAGAAAAGAAATACAGACAGCATCCCGTCCAACTCCAGCAAAATACATATTATGTTCAGTGCACAAGAACACACTCTAGGATAGACCATTTGTGAGCCCACAAAACAAATCTTATAAATTTAAGAAGATTAAAATTATACCTCTCATATTGTCAACTACAATGGCATGAAAATGCAAGTGAATGAAGGAATATAATAAAAATGAAAATATGTGGAAATTAAACCACACTTTACAGAACAAAGACCATACCAAAGAACAAATCAGTAGGGATTAAAGAAAATATTGAGACAAACAAAAATGGAAACACACCAGATGCATTTAAACAGTTTAAGAGAAAAGTTTATGGCAATAAAATTCTACATTAAGAAAAAAAGAAATATTCTAAAAAAAACAACCCACTTTATTCCAAATGGAACAAGGAAAAACCCCATTAATCTCAGACTTACCATAGGGAAGGGAATAATGTGGATCACAGTAGAACATACAACCTACCAAGAATGAATCATAAAGACATAGAAAAAAGAACAGAACATTAAGTCATAAATATGCTCAATGAATAATCAACAACCTCTCAACCAAGGAAACCCCAGGACCAGATGATTTCCCTGGAGAATTCTACCTAACATTTTAAGGAGCATGAGCGATGATGATTCTGAAATTTGCCCAAAACATTGAAGACCAAAAACAGTACTATACTCATTTAGGAGGCCAGAATTACCCTGATTTGAGGCTATAATAGGACACAATAGGAAATGAAAATTATGAACCAATAACTTGATGCACTTGATGTGAAAGTATTAAAAAATATTAGCCAACTAAATGCAACAGTATATGATAATTATTATACCGTAATCAAAGGGAATTTATTCCTGGATGCAAGGAGGGTTCAACACATGCAAATCAGTTAATCTGATATACCTCTTTAACAAAGTCTAAGATAAAATGATATGATTATAGCAAAAGACCCATGGAAAGTACCTGAAAAAAATCTGCTTTCATTCATATAAAAACTCACAAAAATCGTTGTACAGAGAGAGTATCTCAACATATTAAATACCATACGTACATGTTTACAGATTGTATTATACCCAAAAATGAAAAACTGAAATATTTACCAATACAATCAGGAAATGGGTAAGGATGCCCACTCTCACCACTTCTATTCATCTTAGTACTGAAAGTCATAGCTACAAAAATTAAGACCAAAAAGAAAAATGAGATTAAATTAAAAGAAGAATAAAATTATCTGTTCGTAAATGTTATGATTATTTTGTTTGAAGAGATACTACCTTATGTTTATTTTCTTTATAATTTTACATATAGAAAACCCTAAAGACACCACCAAAAATTTTAGAAGTATAAAGTCAGTACACTCGCAGGATATATAATCAACAAACAAAATTGTGTTCTTCAAATAAACATATTATTCAAAAAGGAAGTTAATAAAGCAATCTCATTTTAAACAGCAACCCAAGTAATAACATCTCTAATGATAAATTTAACACAAAATCAAAATATTTTTATTGTGATCATAAAACAGTAAAAATGGATTTAATGATGAGAAACGTAAATGGAAATATATCCTATGTTCATGGATAGAAAGAATTAATATTGTCAAAATGTCCATAGTATGCAAAGTGATCTCCAAAGAAATCTCTATAAATGTCTCAATGACATTCTTTTTGTTTTTTTTTTTGAGAAAAAGTCTCACTGTGTTACCCGGGCTAGAGTGCCATGGTGTCAGCCTAGCTCACAGCAACCTCAAACTCCTGGGCTCACACAATCCTTCTGCCTCAGCCTCCCGAGTAGCTGGGACTACAGGCATGTGCCACCATGCCTGGCTAATTTTTTCTATATATTGTTAGTTGTTTCATCAATTTCTTTCTATTTTTAGTAGAGACAGAGTCTCGCTCTTTCTCAGGCTGGTTTCGAACTCCTGAGCTCAAACGATCTGCCCGCCTCGGTCTCCCAGCATGCTAGGATTACAGGCGTGAACCACCGCGCCCAGCCCTCAATGACATTCTTATCAAAAATAGAAGGAAAATGTAAAATGCCAAAAAGTTATGTGGAATGACAAAATATCCCAAAGAACCAAGCAAACTTGAGCAAAAAACAGAAGTGAAAACACCATATGCACTAATTTCATATTGTATTACACAGCCGTAGGAATCAAATGCATGCACTGGGGTAAAGGAGAAAATATCGAGGCCAGAGGGACATAAGGAAGATCCCAGAAATCAACTTATCCACAATACTCAGATAACATTCAATGATGGAGGAAGAATAATCTGCTGGCAAAGGGTAGTCTGTTCAAGGAATTATTTTGAAAGAATTGGATATCTAAATTCACTACAATAAAATTGTGCCCCTAACATACACCATACATAAAAATTAACTCAAAATGGATTAAAGACAAACACAGACCTATACTCATGAAACTTATGGAAGAAAACATAGGGGGAAATCTTGATGTTGGTCTTGACAACAATTTGTGGATATGGCACTAAAGGTGCAGGTAATAAAAGAGCAGGTAAGTAAATGGGGATCATCAAACTAAAATGCTTCTGTACAAGAAAGAAAATAAGTATAAAGTTAGAAGGCTACTACAGAATGGGAAAAAAATTGCAAACAATATATCTAATAAGGGGTTAATGTATTTTCTATATATATGTGAATCAAGAAACTCAGTAGCATAAAAATAATAGTGATAAATAAATAAACAACTTGACTAAAAATTGGGAAAATGCCTGGAAATATATTTCTTTCTTTTCTGTAATTTTTATTTATTTCAGCATATTATGGGAGTAGAAACATTTACGTTACATATATTGCCTTTGAACCGCCCGAGTCGGAGCTACAAGCATGTCCATCCCCAAGACGGTGCGCACTGCATCCATTAGGTGTGAATATACCCATCCCCCTCTCCCCTCCCACCTGCCCAACACCTGATGAATCTTCCTTCCATGTGGGCACATAAGTGTTGATCGATTAGTACCAATTTACCAGTGAGTATATGTGGTGCTTGTTTTTCAGTTTTTGTGATTCTTCACTTCAGAGAATGGGCTCCAGCTCAACGCAGGATAATACAAGAGATGCTAGTTCACCGCTGAGTTTAGTGGCTGAGTAGAACTCCATGGTATCCATATACCACATGTTGTTAATCCACTCATGTATCGATGGGCACTTGGGGGTTGTTTCCGCGTCTTTGCAGTTGTGAATTGTCATGCTGTAAACATTCAAGTGCACATGTCTTTATTATAGAATGTCTGTTGGTGCTGGGACACTGACCAGCACGGGGTCTTCCTTCTCTTGCTCAGGATGGGGACTCCCTCTGCCCCCGATGTCCATATTGTCCGGCAGGCATTTTATCCTGCTTGCTGGGTAGAAGGAACGTTCACTGTTGTGTGCTGTGCTGCATTGTGTTGACCAAGACAAAATCCTTCATTGATTCTTGGACTTATTCCCAAAGGTTGATAATTAATGTACATTCAGGGACAGGACAGAGTGACTGGAAGCCACTCTCTGCCTTTTGTGCAGGTGAGAATATTTTCTCTCATGACCACAAACATATCTAACTCAGAGACTGCAGAGGGAAACACAGAATCGTGAATTCAGAGACATTCCCCAGAGAAAACTGTTTTATGGAGAGGAAGCCACAACCCTGACAGAAAACCAGCACTTACCCTCCACCTGCACCTGCCCTGGGCTGACTCTGCTCCTTGTGCTCCACATGCCCCCTGGTGTCATCACGTGCCCCCGCAGGAGGTTTGTGTCTGGGCTCACACTGAGATCCCCTCACTGTGTCTCTCGCACAGTAGTACACGGCCGTGTCCTCGGCTTGCAGACTGTTCATTTGCAGAGACAGCGTGTTCTTGCTGTTGTCTCTGGAGATGGTGAACCTGCCCTTCACGGCGTCTGCGTAGTATGTGCTAGTACCATCACTACTAATTCTTGAGACCCACTCCAGCCCCTTCCCTGGAGCCTGGCGGACCCAGCTCATGTAGTAGTCACTGAAGGTGAATCCGGAGGCTGCACAGGAGAGTGTCAGGGACCCTCCAGGCTGGACCAAGCCTCCCCCAGACTCCACCAGCTGCACCTCACACTGGACACCTGCAAACACAGACACATCCTGGTCACAAACTGCCACACACATCCCTGTTTCTCTCACTCACATCCACTCACACACCCAATGTCTCTACTTCTCCATGAATTACCTTGTAACAGAACAACAAGGAAAATCCAGCTGAGCCCAGACTCCATGGTCAGTCTCTGTGTTGAGTCCTGATCACCGAATGGGGACCCCTGGGAATGCCGGGGCTGGGGCTCCTCTCCCAGAGCTGCAGGGTGAGGGCTGGGCTGGTTTTCATGAGCAGAGGGAGGGCCCTATTTGCATGTCCTCTGCTATATAGCAAGCTCTGGGTGGGGATTCCTGTGTGAGGGCACGGCACAGAGAAGCGATTAGAGTCCTGAGGGAGATTATGGGTCATGATATTTTTTTTTATTTTATTTTACA